AAGTCAGAGGAATTAATTCTCCCAGCAGACAGCTCTTATTTAGAACAAATGTGATTTTCAGAACTGAAGCTATGTATTTAATGAGGCTCTATGAAAACACACGTAGCCCAGAGCTGCTGGGAAATTCAGCCCTGTGCCAGAGAAATGCATTGAGTCAGGAAAACAACATCCAACAGGATCATCCAGCCAGTTCATCCCTCAGTTCCCTGCAGAGAAAACCCATCTCTGTGTTGCTGACCCTCAGAGATTGCTGCCCTGAACAAGGGAATCTAGGTGCTTTTATTGGGTGTTTGAATTTGGCCCACCCAAAAGGTGTATTTTGAGGTTTAATCAGGAAAAGAGGTGATGTTTCCTCCCTCTCCTTCAGAGGAAGCCAGCAGACACGAGCAGGTGGATCTCTACACAACACAGGATTAAGGCATGGAAGTCCTTGTTACAGATGTTACAGATGTTACAGATATTGAGAGTTGTGGCTTTATTCTTTTCCTGGGAAAAGCTGAGCTCCCCATTTTCAGCCCTGTGCCTCAATTTCCTTTCTTACCTGTTGCATTCTCTTTACCCAGAGCAGGAGCTGCCCTACTGGCACCCACACAGCAAAACACCAGGGGCATGGATGGGGCTGCTGGACATCTGCATGGTGTCAGAACACATTCAGAGAGATTTCCAGAGATTTATGGCTATGAAAATCCATTTATCCAGCAAGGACACAGAAGAAGTTTTGGGGCAGTTGGTGTTTTCAGACAAAGGACGAGAAAGCAAAGCCATTTGTAGAACACCATGTGGGTTGGAGCTGGAAAGGGAGCCTCAGGGAGCTTTCTGTGCTCTGCTGCCTGGGCTCACCTCTCTGGAGCAAAGAGCTCTGCCACTCCCAGGTGCAGCTGTAGCTGCCAGATAAAGGTTATTTTTCTCCAGTGAACTCCACGGCCCTGTGAAAGGCTCCCAGAAAACAACTCTGGCTACTGATTTGCACAAGCAGCCTTGGGGTGCAGGCAGCAGTGATGTGCCCAGCCCTGAGTGAGCTGCATGAGCCAGACCCCCTGGGTTTGTACATGTAAAACCTGCCTCCAAATGGAGACTGCAGAGACCTGGAGACAGCAAAAGGGATAAAGCAGCAGCTGCTTGCCATGGGGGAAGGAGGATCAGCTCCTAATGATAGCATCATGTTTGCCTGGCTCAGCTGGAGATGAAAAGATGAACTATAGATCAAACTGATTTCTCATGCCGAGGTAACAACAGAGAGGGATTTGTCTCCAAAAGAAGCATCTTTTCTGCCTACATGCCAGCAAAAGAAGTAATTTTTCTGTCTGACTTTATAACTTCATCAAATATCCATCTGGCAGCAGGCCAGAGCACTATGTATGAAGTTGTATTCGCTGTCACAGCAGATGGATGGGAGAAACTCTAGTGAAGATTTCAGCAGGAGAAACCCACTGTGATGTCTTGGGGAGAGTACACAGATCCCAGAGGCATGGCTCATTAGAAGCACTGAGGAATTTGGCTTTTTGGATTTGATTGAAAACAGGGGGTCTAATAAGGAGTTGTAGTCCCCAAGCTGCCTTTGAAGTTTGGTCCTTATGTGGAGACAAAGTTCAGCAAGATCTTTTTTTAGGGGTGCCTGGAGGATTGAGTAATAGAGCAGCACTCGAGCGTTTGGATCGGAAATTTCATCTGGAACCTGGGAAGTTTATTTCCTGGCAAAAGTATCATGAGAACCAGTGTATTCTCAGGACAGGCCAATTTCAAGAAATCCAAATTTCCAGATGACTTTGGGCTCCCTGGAAAAACTCCTGGGGACTCTGTGTGCGTGAATGCCCTGAAAAACCTCATCTGTCCTCCCAGACTGACACTGTCTGTGCTCTGAGGCTCCAAAACCAGCTCAGTGTGGGCAGGTCCTGCAGGGACAGGCTCAGGGTGATGATGATGATGAGTAGCAGGAGATCTGCTGGTGGAAACAGTGAGATGTGCTCTGCCCAAGCTGTGTAAATGAGATGAGCAGAGGTGTGGGAAGGAGCCTGTGTGGAGCCATCCTTGCTGACCAGCCCTGATGGCCCAGCTGCCTTCTGCAGCCTGGGTGAGCCGTGGTCACCCCCAGACTGGCCACCTCTGCATGGGCTCAATCTCCAAGACCTTCGAATTCATTTTAAAATTAAATAAGTCAAGCTCCTGGCTTCCTGAGGAAGTGTGTGAGAGCAAAGTGTGTGAGACAGCAGCAGGGAGCTGACACCTGCTGTGGCTTCACATCACTCTGGGGACACGTGGCAGGGCCACCCCGAACGGGGAGCTCCTTGGGGCCATCAGTCTGGAATCCAGGAGTTTTAAAGGAATTCTCAAACCTCTCCCAGAGCAGGTTGTAGTGGGGCTGCTGCAGTGCCTGAGGGTCTCTCCCAGTGCTGAAAGCTCAGCTGAGCTGACAGCATCTGACAGTGTGAGAAAAACAGCCTTTCAACCTTTAAATTGAGCACATTTGCCATGGATTCAATGGAGACTAATGACATAAAAGCTCATTTTATTTTTTTTTAACAGAGAGACTCTGCAAATGGAAATTTCACATTTTCACGGGGGTTTTTGCTCTTTCAGGGATTTTTTTCCCCCTCTTCCTTTCCTTTTGCAAGGAAAATGCCCAGTTTCTTGCACAAGACAGACCTGGAAGGTTTATACTTCACTGTGGGCTTGGGAGTCCTGCAAAAGAATGGCTGTGCAGGAGCTTTCATGGAGCTCCTGAGCCAAAATCAGAGGAATAAGGCAGAGAGCAGTAAGGGCTCCTGGGCAAATGTGAGCATTACACAGGAGGGAAGGATGGAAGGAATCAGCCAGCTCAGCCCATTGAAAGAAAAGCTCCAGGAGATCTGCAGCAAACCTAAAATGTTTCAGGGATAAAAATTTCCAGGAGGTTAAAAGGTATCCTGGTTAAAAGCCATTGTTGGTACAAGGATAAAAGGAAATAAACCAGCCACAGATAAATTTGGGCTGGAAATTAGAAAAAGCTAATTGCATTTCATAGAATGTTTCTGGTTTGTTCTTCCAGATGGAAAGAGAAGCTCAGGTTAGTGCAGGAATGCTACAGGCTGCAAGTGCAGGAGGAATGCAGGGGATGCTCAGCAAACTCTCCTCCATGCTTTTCTCTCTGGCCCCACTTCTAAAAAGGAAAAACCTTTCCAGGGAGTTTTTCCTAATGACCAAAAAAAAAAAAAAATCCTTTTCTGCAGGGAAAAGGTTTTCATTTTACACACATTGTCAGTGGAGCCTTCTTAGCCAGCTAATTTCTCAGGTCTTTAACCAGCCAGGCTGCCTGGAATGGAGAGATTTCCTCTCATCTCCAATCACTTGGCTGCACATGGAGGAGAAGCCCTTTGACGAGGTGAATTTGCAAGGCTCTCAAATCCTCTTTATTCTCCCTGTGCCATCCCTCCTTGACTCATCTCCAGGAGACCATGTTGGGCTAAGCCCAGAGCAGGCACAGAAAGGTGACAGCACCAATCCTAGACACACAGGCACACACAGATACAGCTCCCTCCCCTGCACCATAAATTAAATATCATCTCTACCCAGGGCTGGGGAAGATCAGCTGAAATAATGCAGCCCAGTCCTCTCTGATTCAGAGGCACTGAATCAGAGCAGCCCACAGCCCTCACCCAGCCCAGCCCACAGCCCTGCTCCTCCTGTGTCCCTGAGATCCCACAGTTCACATCTGGCCCGGCCAGGTGCTCAGCTGGGGGTTAAACACACACCTGCAGCCAAAAAAGGCTGAATGTGGTAATTCCTGTGTTAGTCAAAGCAATGATAGTGGGAGTCTGTAGTGAGACCAGTGTTCAGGCAACCAGGGCTTCAAGGAAAATGGCATTTGAGAGGCAATGTGAATTCTTAGGGACACTTTTTCCTGGGAGAACAAGCAGGAGAGTGAGGAGCACGAGGCAAAATGCACACAGAAAGGATTGGGGCACACACACAGTCTGGGGATAAAGGAGAAGGTGGCTGTTAGAATGAAAAGGCAGACAGGCCAACCACTTTCTGAGTGCAATTATTTTAATGTGTCTCTCTTTTCCAAATTCCACATTGCACACACGGAAACAACAATTTTTTATAAAAAGACTCACACCAGAAATGCTGACTTGGAGAATAGGAACTCTCCTTATCTCCCACTACACAAGGAGGCACGAAATTCACAACATCAGGCACAGCTGACCATGGGGGTGAGCAGACAGACAGACATGGGGATTACAAAAGACAGAAGAAGGCAAGAGCAGGGAGGCAGAGGATGTTCTCACGGACACCCTGCTGGGCAGGCAGGTGTGGGTCACAGCTTGGGGGAACACCCACCTCACCAGGGCATCACTGTGGGGCACACCCACCTCACCAGGGCATCACTGTGGGGCACACCCACACCAGGGCATCCCTGGTGGGTACATCCATCACACCAGGGCATCACTGGTGGGCACACCCACCTCACATCAGCATCTCACTGCTCCTACCCCTCTGCCTGCCCAGACACCATCTCTGCTGGTTGTGCTTTCTTGGTCAGGCATGGCATTATCCACCTCTGGTAGCATTTCACAGGGCAGCTGTGATGAGGAGTGATGCTCTCCAGTCCTGCTTTTCAAGACTTCAGCGAGCAAAGAAAGGAATTGTGTGCTTAGCACTTGATTTTACTAATTTTTTGGCTCTGAGTGCTCAAAGAAAATCTTGCAGTAACCATATTCACGTGGGAAATGTCTCTAAAAGATTTTGAAGCTGTTGTATGCTAGTGAGGCCAGCAAGATGGGAATCAAACCTACATCAGCAAGCTGTTCTGCTTAATTGCTACAGCACTCACGGGCAGGCAAAAATTGAGGGAGCCTTTTTGTCAGCACAGCAGTTCCTGCATTCCTGGGGCAGTGCTGGGGGCAGAGCTCCCCAGGAAAATGGGCATTAGGGGAGATCACACAGGGGTCAGGCTGTGCAGACCCACCCAGCTTGGAACAATCTCCAGATTCAGGTGTGCCAATGCCAGCCCTGCTCCTTGGCAATGCTCATGCCTAAAGCAGCTTTCCGTGGAGCTGGAGCAGGTGTTTGCCCCTCACAGCACACACCAATGCTTGCCCAGGACCTGGAGGCTGTACCAAAGATTGAACCCGCATCTACCCAGCCCTACACAAACACCCTTCTCCCAAACCTGCCTCTTCTCCTCCTCATCATTACAGACCCACCCTGCTAAAATCAAGATGTGGAGAAGGAGCTGTTGGAGGCAGCAAACTGCTGGAGGACTCAGGGACTCACGTTATGACTCTTTGGTTAACCTTTTATCAAGGAATTACTTCAACCTCATCCTACCTGGGCTCATGCAGGGACATCAGCTGCCCAGGGGCTCCCCAGAGCAGCCAGGACACCTCCTGCATGGCCTGTACAGCACCAGGGCTTTTCTCTCCACAGAGGTGCCCTGGTGGCCAAGGGGAGCCTTGGTCATGCCACAACCCCTCCCTGTCCTCCAACATTTCCCCTTCAGCCCTCCCACCTCTCTCTGCATGGATTTCTGGTGGTTAAAGCCTCAGGGGTGTGTTGTCCTCAGCAAAGCAAGCAGCTGCTGCTGGGCTGAATGGGAAGAGTTTCCTCCCTCTGGCTACAGGAGATGTAAAGTTCTGTAAGAGAGAGAGATGGATGGAGGGAGCGTGGCATGGAAAACACATCTCAGAGAACCCAAGGGGTGGTGAGGCCATGGGCTGTTTGCTGACCCTTCTAGCCCGGGAAATTTGAGCCATCAAAGGGAGAGGTAGGAGGATGCAGGATGAAAAGAAGCCAAAGTGTGCAGCTCTCTGCTGCAGGATCACAAATGATGGGAACTGACAGACAGTCAAGGCGCAAATGGATTATTTCATGGGGGAGAAATCCACTCAGGGCTGCTACATACAGGCACCACTGCCAGCTCAGGAAGCTCCTAAGCAACAGCACACTGGAAGCTGGGAAAGCACTTCTGGCAAGCAGCATCCTGATTTTCCCCTGTCTTTATGTTCCTCTCAGGACCTTGCTCTCAGCCTTGTCAGAAGCTGGATCCTGGGCTAGCTGGGCCACTGCAGTGATGTGGTGTGGTCCAGATGATTCCCTTGTCATTCAAAGCCCCAAAAAACACATTTCAAATATAGAGTTATCATAAACAGAGGACCTGTGCAGCCATTCCTACTCAAGATCCACTCTCTTGCTGCTTCCTCCCCACATGCAAGTCCTGCCTGGCAGTGCTGTCCTTCCCCACACTGAGCAGGAGTCAGAGCAAAGCCCATCAGCACAGCACTGTGCTCCCAGCCAGAGTCCCCCAGGGAAAAACACAAATCCTTTGCAGCATTATTCCATCAGATTAGGGTCTTTCTGAGGCACAGGGAGCGTCTTTGCTTGGAACAGCTCTTGATAAATTGTCTTCTGCAAACTCATCCCACTGCTTTGTGAGCACCCTGAGCAGCCCATTTCCTGCAGCAAGGATCCACTCCTGGGCAATAGATCCCACAGTCACCATCTTCCAGCAGAGCTATTCTGAAGCCCATACAGTCATCTACCCCCTGCCCTGAGGCGTGTCCCGAGCCAGCCTTCCACAAAAATATGGGAAGAATGTTGCCTAGTACTCAATACATAATCACGGCCCAAAAATTTAATTTGCAGGCTCCAGTTAGTCTCTGGTTACCCCAGGAGCTTATCCCCAAGGATCCAGCCTGGCTGATCTTCCAAGAAATACACTATGAGGAGTAGCACAGCTGCAGCGCAAGCTCATTAACGTGAGAGGAAAATACCAGCGCTGATTGTGATCCTTGTGGTTCCTTCTCTTAGAATGGGCAGTAAAATCGCCCAAATGAGGGCAGGATGGGGCAAGAATTTTCAACAGAGGAGAGATGGTTTCACACTGCTTTTTCAGCAGCAAAGACATAGCTTTGTCCCTACTGCCAAAAAGTCTGGCACTAAAAATGCTGAAATCTTCTTGTGACTGAGTGGCAGCAAGCTGTAATTTACTGCGTTCCTGCTTCTTTTATGTCCAAGAATTGCTTCACTTCTGAGAAGAAAGAGCTGTCATTTGTCGGTCCCATGTAGCCTCTCCTTCCAACTGTCACGTTATATCAGACAAATTAATTCATTCCCCTCTTCGATCTGCTCCCCAAAAACGGCAGCGTATTTCCAGGAACCGCTATCATCTTTTCACAGCAGCATCGTTATCAGTTTTCTCTTTAAAACTGTACAATGGGCATGTTTCAGCAAAAAAATCTGGATTATTTTTCTTTCTGCTGTTGCATCCATCTCCCTTAAAGTGGTTCAGAGAGGCCTGACTGACTGCTGGCTTTCCACAAGCACCTTCCCCATGCCCCTGACTGATGGCACAATTCCAGCCCACCCATGGCAGCGTTTGGCTGGCTGCTGACAAAGCTTTGCCCAGGTTTAGGATGTGGCCAGGTCCCTGGGCAGGTTGAGCTGTATGGCCTCTCCCCCTGTGGAGTATTTGGCCACTGGCCCGTTGCCCTCCATGGTGAAGAGTTTGCAAGCCTTGGCGTTCTCGTGCACCGGGGTGGACTTTTTGGAGGAGATGGGGGAGTTGGTGGGGCTCAGCTGGACAGCAGTGGTGTCCTGCACCGTGTGCTCGCTGGTTTCGATTTCAAAGGCTGTGTTGCCAGGTTTGATGAGGCCAATGTTGGAGCCTGGCTTGGATTTCCTGGCCCCGTGGGCCGGGGGTCTCCGGCTGCAGATGCAGCAGGCACCGAAGAACGTGAAGGCCACCACCAGCAGGATGGGCCCGATGATGATGGGAGGGTTGTTCACAGGGAGGAAGGTCCCAAAGGCAAAAGCTCCCACTAGGGTGATGTTGATCCCTGCTAGCATGATGCAGAGTCCACAGGCACAGCAGAGAGCCGGGGAGGGGAGGCCCTGGGGCCGGGTCTTCTTCTGGGTGGGTTTTTGGGGCAAAGAGGCGCTGCTCTTTTCACTGAACATGCTGGGAAGAGTCTTGGAGGTCACCTCAGTCCTCACAGGGTGAATGCTGTGTTGAGAAGGCTATTTCCAGTCTCCTGTTGTCTTGAAATCCTGGAGAGGAATGAAGAAGCAGCTGTTAGGGCAATTAACCAAAGCACATATTCCCTGCCATTCCTGGCGACCAGCATCTTCTCTGGGTCTGCTGGTGCCAGAAACTAAGCCTGGCAAATCCAAGCCTGCTTTTAAGGCTGAACTTGACTTAACCTTGAACTTGACCACCCTGACTGTGGTGGTCACACATGGTCGCCCTCAGGCTGGAGCACTGAGCCCAGCGTGCTCCATGTCATTTGCTCTCCATGTGGATGATGCCCAAGTGAATCCAAGCATGCCACGGCCAGAGCCTGTGCCATAGCTGCTCTCACAGGGTTTGTCATCACCCACACAACACCTGTCTAAACAGAGTCCAGGACTGCCCTGAACACCCCTCACTGCAGTACTGGTGATGTATTTTTGAATGGGTAATAGTCCACAGTTGTGACAGAAAGGGGACATTTTGCTCCATGCCTCAGTTCTCTAGTAATTGAAATGAGTCATTCAGGTTGCCTTTCCAGCCAGTGGGATAAAAGGTCCCAGAAGATGACCCAGAACATCCCCAAAGATGTCTGTACTGGGAGGCTGAGCTGACTACAGAGGCAGCCCTGGAGATCCCTCGAGCAGGTAGCATTGGATGCTCAGTGATACAAACACCATCCACAGACACTGAATGACACCCTGTCAGTCACACAAGTCTGTAATAAAATGGAGCAAATGTGGCTGTTTTGTCAGCTAGACCATGCTTTGAACCATGCATCTCACCATCTTTGGTGTGATCACAGGAGACCCCACAGAAGGGGACTGGGAATCTTTTTTGCCTCAGCAGCCATAAACCCAAACTTCCACAAGCCTTGAGCACTATCAGCTCCAGGATGGAGGCTCATGGAAACTGAGATGCTGAAGCTGAAAAGGAGCCTGTGTAGGGATCTGTCTAGGACCCAAGGCAGTAACACAGCCCTGGCTGACAGCAGCAGCTTCTCCATGGAGGAGATTATTGGATGTGATGAGAGCTGGATTTGTGTTTGCTGTACTTGCTGGGAAGTCAAATTGCCAGAAGCCAATTTGTCAGCAGTTTGCTGGTGATGTCTTTGATTTTACAGGCAGGAGAGCGTTTCTCTTCCCAGCCAGATTGCAAACAATAGCAGTCTGCTCTTCCTTCCTCTCCTGCCTAGCTCCCTAGCTTCTTCCCTCCTCTCCTGTCAAATCCCTTTTAGAAGTGTTGTCAGCAAAAAACTGATACCACTCAGTTTCTATGGCAGAGCCAAGATGCTTTGTTGTGCTATCAACACCCTGTAGCCACTAAATTAAACAAAAACCAAAACAAACAAAGCTAAAACAAAACAACACCCCAAAACCAAACAAAAACACAAAACAAGGAAAAACACCAACCAAACAAAAAAACAAAAAACAACAACTAAAAACAAGCCATCACCCATCACACTGACACACACCAGTGGGATCAGCCGGGCATTTTCAACATCTTTCCTAGGTTATAAAATTTTCTGGCACCTCCAGCTGAGGCAAAGCTCTCTGCTGCCCTGTCAGGTGTCATATCTCATTTCCTTGGCTTGGACTTTTGTTTAGACCTGGATGTGTGCAGCACTGAACTTTCAGCAGAGTTCCTGTTCAGTGAGGCAGCTGGAGCTGACAAGGACAGGATTGAATCCTTCCCCATCTGGGGATGCCTGGCTGGGGAGAGGTCTCTCAGCAGGCAGAGATTTTTCAGGATACTGAGAGAGTGTGAGAGAGAAAGGGCATTTTCTCCATCAGCCAGGCTAACACACATCCATGTTTGCCTAGCAGTGTCCTTTTGTTCTGCCTGGGAACCCTGGCATGCTGATGGGAGCTGGAGCCCCGATTCTGCCTCCTTCACCAGCCCTGCACGAGCAGCAGGATAGCTTCTGGTTAAAAACACATTTTTGCACTGTTTGCAGACCAGCCCAAACCTTTAGCACACAGAGGCTGCAGACACCCCAGTGTGGCTCTTCCTCTTGGTTTGCCCCACATTTTCCCACTACAAAATACCCACCAGGGAACTGCATGGCTTCTCGTGGTTAAAAACATCACCAGATTCACTCCATCAGCTCCCTTCCTCCTGGCTTCTCACCCTCACCTGTTTCCAGTTTGAAGGAATTCTCCCTCCTGGAAGTGCCAGGCAGCTGGGCTCCAGCAGGACACTAAACACCCCAGCTGCTTCTGCTCTTAGGCAAGGCATCACCAGAGCTCTGCCTGCCCCTGAGATTTTCATGAGGAGCTTCAACCTGTTGCCCATCCCATCTGTCAGGGGGCACCTGTAGCCACTCCAAAGGGACCCTGTGGTTTCTGGCTGCTTTAAGGCTGCAGAGGGATCACCCAGCATGGTCCTTCACAGCTCATTTTCTCTGCCTGGCAATTTTTGTCCATCACTACAGACCCCTGAGCACAGGGGCTGGAGCTTGTCACACCCTCTCTACAGCTGCGCCAGAAGTGTTCTATGGCCATGCTGTGTCCAAGGCAAAACTTCTTTCCCCTTGCCTTTGCTTGCAGCACCTACATGGGGTAATGGATCTTTCCCAGCGGAAAACAATGGAATCACTGGAGATTCCTGCCTGGAACCTCTCCCATCAGGCTGGGGGCAGGAGATCTTGGAATTCAAGCATGATTGCAGAACATGATCCCAGAACATGATCTGCACACACACCACAGGGTAACTCACAGCACAGAGAGATGTTTGAGCTGGGAACACACAGAAAGTAGATCAGTGGTTGCTTTTGTCTTCATCTCCATGTGAAACATCAGGGATTGCACACAAGGAATTCCTGTTAGACCACCAGATGACATGCGGCTGAGAAAGCCAACAGAGCAGTGGAGGATAAAGCAAAAAAGAAACCAAAGCCACTGAATGCCTTACACTATCCTCTACCTAACAAGGCCCCATGACAACATACAGTCCATGTTTTTTCTGATTGTCATGCACAACAGGAGCATCTTTGCTCTTCTGTCATCTCCAAAAGCCCAGGCTGATGCTTTTCCATACCCTTCTTAGGCACAAGGATGGGCTGATGTGGGTCAGCTCCCACTGCTGACCTGCCTGGGGATATCTGGCAGCTTTTACCTTTCACTACAGTGAAATTAATGGCTTAAAAACTTACCAACTTTTCAGCCAAATTATTCTGATTAAAATGATCAATTTCTGTTCCATCAGGAGTGGGAAAAGTTCTCTTTGGGCTCTTTGCTTGATACAGGTTCTTTTCTTATCAGTTAGAGTGTAGGTTTCGTCTCCAAACAATATTTCAGCCTGAAATGCACTACTGCAAGCACTGCTGTGCAAAATTAAAAGCTGCACACTCAAGCTGGCATGATGGAAATCCACAGGCTCTAATGATTCCTTCCAGGGGAATAGCCACCCCTCCCTATACTCTCAGGGGGACAAAGACAGACTTTCACCCATATCTCTGAGAGTTCCTAGAGCTTGAAGGTCACACTGACATATTCAGCCAGCATTTTAGGAGCATTGTTTAAAGCCACAGCAGCAGCACCAGCAGCATGCACAGCCAAGCACGCTTCCCTCTTAGTTGTAGTGGAGAGAAATTGAGCTGTCATCCTTCAGTGCAGCAGCACAATGAAAATATTTGACAGACCACAGACGAGTCCCCTTTACAGAGGTGTGATGGCACAGAAAAATAATGACAGTGATCAGCAAACTGAAATTGCAGTCAGACAGCTACAACCACCCCACACACAGGCAGGCTCACAAACACACAGGCACGCAACATTCAGCTGCCAGGAGAAGCACAAGACTTTTTTTTTTCGTGGGCAAACTGCTGGGAAAGTCTCGGGCAGAGCAGAGAGAGGTTGGGTGTCTGGAAGGGGAGGACGCTTACCTGGGATGGAGCGCGGAGCCGGGGAAGGCGATGGAGGGAGCGGCTGCCCGGGGTCTCACCCTTCACTCGGGGATGGCAAAGCCATGGCTCGTCCCAGCAGAACGGGGCTGGAAGCCCAGCTGTGCTCTGCGGCAGGGGTATCTCACATCCCCGCTCCCCTCTTGTCACCGAGCTCAGGAAACTTTGCTGGGGTGTCAGGCGGGCAGTCCTTGCAGAGCTCAGAGAGCTCCGCCGCTTTGCCCCCACTCTCTCCCTCGCCCTCGGAGGACGATGCTGCTCTCCCTAGGCAGGTGGGTGCTCAGCCGCAGCATCCCTGCCCCGCCGCATCCTCTGCTGCCTCCTCCTCCCGCAGCCCGCGGTGCCCGGAGGCTCAGCCCACCGCCCACCGCTGTCCGGCGCCGCTCATCCTCGCCCCGCTGCTTTTCCTCCTTCCTTTTCTACTTCAAGGCTGCAGCTCCCGCCCCCTTCAGCTGACAGAGGTGCCCGGAGCAGAACAGCCCCTTTTTCCCCCGGGGAGAGGAAAAACCCGGGAGCGCATCCCTGCCGAGGGTCAGCCCCGGGGCGGGGAGAGGGAGACACGGCCGGATGCCGAGGAACGGCGTGCGGGCTCGCCGGTGCTGCAGCCAGGCACGGAGCCCTCAAAGGTTTGAAACGCACTCAACGAGAAATTAAATAAAAAAATACAACCGGTGTTCGGTGCCTCTGGATGGTGGGGGGATGCCGGAGGGATGCGTGCCGGGGGCAGTCCGTGCTGGGCGGCCGGCGGTGAGAGGTGCAGCGTCCGGAGTGTGGGAGCTGCTATAAATAAATAAATAAATAAATAAATAAATGGATAGATAGATAGATAGATAGATAGATAGATAGATAGATAGTCCCCCAGATGCAAAACCAATGTTTCAAACGAGGGGGTGAGTCTGTGCTGGGCAGCCAGCAGTGAGAGGAGAGATGTATGGAGTGTGGGGAGCTGCTATAAATAAATAAATAAATAAATAAATAAATAAATAAATAAATAGATGGATGGGTGGATGGATGGATGGATGGATGGATGGATGGATGGATGGATGATGGATGGATAGATTAGATAGATAGATAGATAGATAGATAAAAAGTCCCCAGATGCAAAACTAGTGTTTCAAATGAGGGGGTGAGTCTGTGCTGGGTGGCTGGCAGTGAGAGGTGCAATGTCCAGAGTGTGGAGAGCTGCTATAAATAAATAAATAGATAGATAGATAGATAGATAGACAGATAAAAAGTCCCCAGATGAAAAACTAATGTTTCAAACAAGGGGTTGAGTCCGTGCCGGGCAGCCGGTGGTGAGAGGTGCAGCGTCTGGAGTGTGGGGAGCTGCTATAAATAAATAAATAAATAAATAAATAAATAAATAAATAAACAAATATATAGATAGATAGATAGATAGATAATAGATAAATATACCTCAGATGCAAAACTAATGTTTCCAGACCTATGGTACACTTGGAGGTAGTTGGTCTAAAACCACGCCTCATGCTAGAGCCTGTGTTAAGCACGGCCTAACTCCCACATTAAGGGGCCAATCTCTGTCTGTTTGCAGAGCTGGTGAGCACAGGGGACCTGGCAAACTGCAGCTGTGCACTGGATGGAGTAGAGATAATTCTCCCAGAGCTTAAGATGTGTTGACACTCAGCTGTCCTCATCTGCTCCCCCTGCTCCCACTGCTGTAACCAGCCTGACTGCTGCCAGTGACTGCTGAGCACAGGCTCTTCTCCAATTTATTTCTGAAGAATCCTCTGTGAACCAGGCTGGAGATCACTGAACATCAATCATGCCCCCCTCTCTTTCAGATTGTTGCTTTCATGAGAGAGAGAGAGAGAGAGAGAGAGGAGAAAGGTAACAGAGACAGTGAAAAACAAAGGTCAAAGAGAGAAATCACGGAGGAGGAACGAACACTTCTCTCTGTTCTCCAGGCACCACTTCAGCCTGAGGATTCTTAATACAGCAGCATCCTCTACTGCACCATACTGCATTTCACTTTACAGGTCATCCTAGAAATTCAGGAAAAACCAAACTTTACAGAAAGGAGTTCAGTCTCTGCTGAGGAAGACAACTCTGTTTTCTCCTTTGCTTGAGCAATGCCAGCAGCACACAGCATGGTTTGAGCAAGAGGGCAGGAGGATATCAGAAAACCAGCACTGCTCAGATGTGTTGACTGCCTGGGCCTACAGACAGAAATGACTGGGAAATCTCATTTCAGACCTTCCCAGAGATGCAGTATCTCCTCTAGGGACTCCCTACACCTGTAACATGAAGTTCAAAATGTCTCAGTGTACTCAACCCTTCCAGAAAAGTGATGAGAGAGTGTACAATGGAAGATTTTGTGGAGAAAATCTCTCCCTGGCACCTCTGAGACAGTTCCACATGGGCAGAACTGGTGTTCAGTGTTTGCTGCCTGTTGCTGGGTGGAGAACAGGAGTGGCTGAGCCCATTCCTGGTGTGGCACCCCAGAGTCCAGCAGAACACTCCAATAATCCACGTTTATGTAGGAGCTGTGGCTGTCAGAGGGGAAGAGACTGCCAGGGTCATTGATTGGAGCCCACTGCTCTCACATTGTGTAACAGCATTCATAAAGCTCAGGCTCCAAAGGGGCCAATTAATACTGGACGACCTGTCAGTTGTGCCCTAATTGCACAAAGCAGTGATGAAGAAGGCTGCTCCTGCTTCCCTTTGCTTGTTGCATGACTCTCCATCACACCTTCTTCTTAATGGCCCATAAGCCCCCCAAAAAGCCTTTAGAAACAAAAAAAGTTACATTTTTTCAGGCTCCACTGAAGCAGTAATTCTGTGCTTTGCATATGTGGCCCTGACAACTGGCAGACTGCATTCATGTGATTAAAACAACTGCTAATTCAAGAACTAAAATTAAAGGCTAGATTTCCCACTGGTATAAATCAGAGCAGATTCATTTCCTTGCAGAGCTTTGATAGCTCATGAGCATTCATGATTTGCCAAGGGGTTTCTGCCAGACTGATGGTTTCTAGCTTCAAACTTGCCAGGGACTGGGAAGCCCTGCCTTTTTCAGAGGAAAGATCCCAACCCTGTGCTGACTAGAAATAATAGTCCTCTGGGAGAAACTGTTTGTTCCCAGCTTCTGCTGAATTCAGAGATTAACTGAAGTCAGAAATTTATGAATGTGAGGAAGCACTGCCTGCTTTTCCCATTGTCAGTTCCTGACTGGTTTCAGCCCTAAGAAATCTGTCTCAGGCACTCTTGCACCCACCAAGGCTGGGCTTTAGAGCCCTGAAGCAGGTCAGCATGGTGAGTGCCACAATACGAAGCCCTTAAACTTCACACTGCTTATGAGAGGTTTTTCTCCATGTGAGAATGGCTGGAAAAAGGTGTGAAGGGTGGGAATCCTCCACAGAGCTTTCAAAGGATTTTGGTTGGGACTGATCCTTGAGGGAAGGCACACAAGCAGAACAGCATCCTGACCCCTCAGCACAACAGGAGCAAAGTGCAGAGCCCATTCTGCTGCCTGCTGAACCGTGCCCATCACAGAGAGAGCACTGGGAGTTCCTGTCCCTTAATTAGATCATTAGACAAAGGTCACTGCAGAAAGCTCCCCCTGCAGATTCCCATGAGGCCTCCAGATCTGGCACCTCTCTGTGAGTTTACAGTTTAATTGCCTCTTAAGGGGAGGAAATGCCAGGCTGAAGCTGCTGTTGCTCCAAACCAACTCCAAATGCGACCATGTCTGTGGGAAAGTTTGCGCTACATCAGGACCCTCATGGCTCATGGTTCTGTGCTGCCTCTGAAATGCAGAAGAGGCAGAGGCCAATTTCTGCAATGTTTGTCTCTCTATAGCATCAAAAAAGAGGCAAAAAATTTAGTATTTGTCATTCCTAGAGGCAGCTGTGAAATTGCCATGCAGAAGATTTAAACTCACGAAGGACACACCTCCTTGTACACTGCGTGATTAAAATCACAGGACTCTGCTGTGGACAGCACCAGTATTAATGTGCTCAGACCTAGAACACAGACACAGCTGGACCTATCAAACACAACAGAGCAGCTGCAGCTCCAGGCACACGATGTTATCATTGGGAAGGACCTGGGGAGGAGAACTTGCTCTGGGTTTGCCCCTAATCTGTGACACTGGCAGCTGTTGAGGCAGAATAATAGGAACCACCAGCCTGACATTCAGCATCACTAAAGCTCTGCCTCTACCCTCTGACCTGCTGGTCTAGCAGAACACTTCTGTAGTTTATTATGTTTTTTTTAATAATCTGGAGATGGTTTTTCCCCATCACACAAACAAACAAACAAACAAACAGATGAACTAAACAGGCTTCCAGAATTTCAAACATGTTTCTTCTTCCTGTGACATCTTCTCACAGCTCTGAAAGGTTAGTGGACAGGAAACATCTGTGCAATTGGCTGTCCTGTTGCACAAACAGCTCAGTAGTTTTTAATAAAGCTTTCTCAAACAGGAGGAAATCAGTGGGTCAGTTATCAGCCAGGGGCAAATGTTTTTAATTACCTTGCAGGGAGGATTGGGTCTATTCTGTTTGGCTCTCAAAGGTTCCCACTACAGTCTAATTAGCAAGCAGCATCACTGGGAGAGGAGGCCTGAAGTTATGTGGTTTTACTCATCCAGGAGGCAAACACCCAGGTGATCCTCCTCTGTCACATCGTGTCTCTCTCTGCCAGCCAGATCACACCAAAGGGGAGTTGATCTGGAAGAGACAAAACCACACACTGTGCCCATCAGCAGCTCTGCTTCATCATTCAAATGCTGTTCTTCAGGCACTTCAGTGTTATACCTTCTTCTTTAAAAGAAGGGCTGGTAGAGATTTTAGTTGAAGGACTGTTTGTTCCTCATAAACTGAAATCAGAGTGTGCTTCACATCTTAGAGATTATACATTGGATGTTACATGTTACATATTAAAACAGTTTTCCTTATTTTTCCCTTCTTCTCCAGGAAGAATACACCAATACATCTGACCTGTGTTTGGGTACAACCACAAGAACCACTGATGTACAGGGGAACAGAGTCAGGCCCCAAACAGGAGGCATCAGGTTTAGGTTTAGGCTTAGGCTTAGGCTTAGGCTTAGGCTTAGGCTTAGAGCAAGGAGCTGTCCTTCCAAGGGGATTTATGCTCTGCTATTGGGAGTATGCCTCAGGTGGTGAATTTGAAGACATTCCTGAGGATGGGATTCAGGTGGCATCACAAACCAGCACTGGAATTTTGATGATGAAGAAAAATCAAGATGATGGGATCTGAGACAAAGCAATAACCATTCTTGGGGCTGAGTCCTACA